AGCTTCTAGGATGCGACGTGATTATAGAGCAGGTGATTCAGCTGCCGTGCTATTAGCGCCTGCACCGAAACCGATCCCTATTTCCCATCGTGGACGACAGGTAGTAGCCTAGGGTGGATTATTATATCTTCATAACTCTTTAACCCGATCGATCGACACGACTTCATTTTTAACTATCTACGCAAACATCCTTGGCACAAACCCGAATCCGCAATTCCATCGTACTTTTAGGGATCCCTTTTCCTCTTGACATTGCAGCGTTCAAGCGCCCATCGTTTTCATCTTTGCATATTTTGCAGCTTACATTTCACACGGATTTTTCCCCTTTATGGGCCCTTTTTAATCATATATCTTCGAACCATATACCCTTTTCGACATCTTATCTATCTATTCTACCCTTTGACGCTGTTACGGCTTATATTTTCTACGTACGTATTGTACATACGCACATGTATCAAAATCACATCGAATCGAATTTGCCTCCGAATGGATGGAGAAGAGCGGATATTCCACGCCTTTGTTTCACTTTCTACTAAATTTTATTTTAATTATCACCTCGTTTTCTTCGTCTTTCGACCTCTTCACGAGACCCCTCCCCCCTTTCACACGTCACCCACGTCACCATTTTAACGGCCTGACAAACGAGCAAACGAGCAACTTGATTTTGTATTGCAATTTTCCAAATGCTGTTGTGTTCTGTTCTTGTGCACTTGCGAAGGCATGTGTATGTCAGGCACACATCAGACATCACAAGCTACCACTTTTAAGGACGAGGTGAATTTCTTCGCCCTTTTCATCACAAGCTTTCTGTTGTTTCTCTTCGTGCTCTGTATATTTTCCTTTATTTTCAGGGGTAGCTTTTCTCAGTTCTGAGTTATTTAGTCCCCTTTCCCCCGCTTTCCTGTTTTAACACTTCTTTCCAACGTTACTCATGAAATGAATAGAGGCACAAGGGCTGGTTGACGGGTTAATATGGTTTTCTTCTTTTACTTTATTTTACTTTTCTAATAATGCCTTTATTCTTCGGAGTAAATGGGAGGAAATGGGTGATCTGGCGAAATTCGGCGGTATAGGTTTTGTTATCTATCATTCTGATTTGACTTTGTTACATTATAGAATATATTGCTGTGCTATTCTTGTTCTGGATAATTGTCATGAACATTCTGTAAGCTCTCTTCCAAGCTTCACACTCATTTTCATTGTTCGGGAGCATTCCATGCTCAGTACTCAAGCCATTAAACCTCACTGAATCATCTTCTAATTGCACTTCAGTAAGGAATGATTCAGCTCAACTCGATTCCAGAAAACTGCTTGACTCTAGGCGTATCTTTAGCGCGATCACATATTGCAATAGTTATACATTGTTGAGATGGCACAGGTACAGAACACGTCCAGCATTCTGGCCTCCCTCCAAGAGCCGAAGAGACGACTGCAATGTGACCAAAAAGAGAAAGAGGAGGTATATAATTGGGTCTCACGCCTGGTAAAAGTGCTGCAAATGTGAGATCATAAGCTCAACATTCAACATGGGGAATGTGACGATGTAAACATCGGTTTTTTGTGGATTAGAATATGAAGCGGACAACACTGAGTGCTGACCCATTGAATATCCCAGAAGCCAACCTTGATAACATCTGGAAGCACGTTTGAAATTCGCCCATTAGCACTTGGGCGGTGATAACCGAGTTAAAAGGAAGGCAGTCTTAAATGGTATAAAATGTGTATTTGTTGTTGGACCGACAAAGAAGCGGAGGGGTGAGACCAGGTACCTAGGTTTTGTGATAACTTCAATGAAGCCTCCAAGAAAATTTAGCCGTTGAGAGTCCCCGGGTCTAAATAACTTATTTAGCTGCAAAAGGTTGAAAATAGCCGAGTAGATATATAATTTTCAGGGTATTTGGGACTCATTTCTCATAAGCATCCTTTGGAAACCTGTATATATATATATATATATTTGCTGTCAACTTTTCTCTGCCTTTCAACCAAAAAGGTAAGCCTACAAGATGCAAGGGTCTTTTTATTGCTTAATCGCACACTCTTGCGGCAAAATCTAGTTATTTCCCCTGCAGCTGCTGCTCCTCTCTTCTTGTCCGATTGGTTCATCTCCTAAAACAGGTCAGCCATAAATGCAGCGAAGATCTCGAACAATACCGTAGTTCTCAGGGGCCTGGCACTTCCTAACTAGCGACGCTCCACACTGAGTTTTGTGAGCTCTGGATTCTATTTGATGGCGAGCAACTTAGGCGGTAGGAAAACAGGGACGCGATCCATATACTCAATGGACAGGGGTGAGTCGATGGAAAGCAGTAAGACTATAGTTACTTGCATATCAGAACTGCTGCATCCTGGAGCTATTCCTCTGTCTGTGGGAATTCGACCACCTGGGAGTAACACCATCAGAAGAAGGCTTTGACATCAACCATGTCGGGTTCGGAATCATTCTTTGGATTCCTCTTGATGCCCTCGGCAGCTTGGATTCGGCTAGTTCAGAAGACAAACTAAGCGCATAGTTCGTTCACGAATAGGTAACACCAGGCTGGGACCTGCAGGAGGGTGAATACACCACAGAGTTAAACAGAAAGCAGAAAACCCCCACCACCTCCATTAAATAATCCATCTGCTGTTTGTGACCTTGGCATCCTCCTTCCACCCAGCAGAGAAGCGGTGTGGGCTTTCCGTCTCCCGGGGTGCAGGTTACTCTGGAACGATTCCCAATCATTGGCAGGAGTAAACATTCATAAGTCGACAATACCTATTCCAAGCCTACTATGCTGCTTGGGTTTAAGGTGATCCTAATTGTCCCGAACGTAAAATACTGCTCTCCACCCGGGCAGCTTCGTCGGATGTATCGTTTGTAAAGGCAAACCCTTATCCTCTTATCTTATCAATCGGACCGAATCTTATCACGTGATGCAATGGTCGTTCTTTTTTTTTTTTTTTTTTTTTTTTTTTGGCCGATATGAAGTTGAACTACCAAGAAACGAAAGATTAATCACATACTGTTCTCTGCAGCGTAAATTGCCTGTATGGATCAATTCGCTCTTTGCAGACGGCGAGAATAATATCTACCCGATTTTTGTGAAAATGGATTCATATGATAGTGATTCATCTGGCATAGATGATGTCGGAGCCTGCACCGAAACCAACGTGCTTCTTGGATATGTAGATGAAGAGGTTTCTGACGATTCGATCAGTCACCTTGGCGGCTGGCCGGTACGGGGGGTTCTCACTTCATTTATTTCTGCTTATTTATTGTTTGCGTGTATATACTTTATATTCACCCCGATCAATGCTAATGGACGAAGTTTACAGACATGGCTCGACCCCAAGACTCCACCACCAGGCGACTTCGCCAAATGTAAAGTCTGCAACAGCCCGATGCCGCTCCTCCTGCAACTAAATGGAGATCTACCGCAACATTTCCCTCACGATGAGCGCTGGCTGTATATCTTTGGGTGCCCTAAGAAAGCCTGTAACAGGAAACCGGGAAGCATAAGAGGCTTGCGCAGTGTAAAGAAGCATAAAATTGTCAATTCTTCGCAACAAATGCAAAATAACCAACTGAAGAAGACGGATCATGCACCACAGCCTATGCCAGCAGAACAGGAGAAGCTCAAGCAAGATCTGGGCGCCAGTCTGTTTGGTGCAGCACCGTCCAACCAAGGGCAGTCAGCTAATCTAAATCCATTTTCAACCACCTCATCTCTCAGCCCAGCGAACCCCTTTGCTTCTCTCGACTCTCCCTCCATCCTCGCCGCAAAGCCCCCTCAAAAGCCTTCTTCCCCTCCGCCAACCACCGATTCCCTCCCCGAAAGCTTCGCCCAAAAAGTCCGTGTCTCCTCCCCACCTCCACTAAATCCCCCGAAGGGCATGGCCGGTCCGCCACTGCCATGGCCACCCCAATCTTCATTCCCAAAGCCTTATCCTCACTACCACCTCGATGCAGAATATGAAACCCTCTCCCGCCCCTCAACCCCTGCAGAATCAAACACTGCTCATCGAATGACCATTGAAGACGAATCAATATGTGGTGTGGAGCCAAAAGATACGTTCGAATCCACCATGGACAAATCCTTCCTGCGCTTCTCTACGCGTCTAGGTCATAACCCGGAGCAAGTCCTCCGCTATGAGTTTTGCGGGACACCACTTCTCTACTCAACCAGTGACGTTGTGGGGAAACTGTTCTCCCACACTTCATCCTCTGAGAAATCATCCCATATCAAAGTTGCCAGCAGCCGTACGGGGGAAAATTACAGCAGAATTCCCCGCTGCGAGTATTGTGGGCGCGAACGCGTTTTCGAGGTCCAGCTTACTCCCCATGCGATTGCGGTGCTTGAAGATGGACGCGAGGGAATTGGGCTTGGACCGAACGATGATTCGGGGATGGAGTGGGGGACTGTGATATTAGGTGTTTGCGCTGCGAATTGTGGCTTAGAGAATGAGGGATTGTTGGTGTGGAGAGAGGAGTGGGTTGGCGTCCAGTGGGAGGAAATAGCTGCTGGGAGGTAGTGAGGTGGCATCAATTTCAGAAGTATGTATTTGCGTGGTTGGTAATTCATAGACATGAGGAATGGGGATGGGGAAAGAGTCAAAAGAACATCGACATTCAAAGTTGCAGGTGATTTTTACGAGATACGAAATTGAATTGGCTAAAGCAGGCTTATTGCTTGGTATGGAAAATATGTCTAGAGCGTACATTAGTTGCTAGTTATAGCACACCTGCATACGCACTGCAGTTTGACACCGTAAAAGAAGCCCACATGGCGGGATTAATGGAAGATAACTGTTGTGGCCAAATGATTCAAATTAAGTATATTTTTGCTTCCCTATTCCCTGGCATGACAATTCCTCAATAATTTCAATTCCGCATCAGAAGGAAATGCGGATCCCACATAAACAGGAAATCTGACAAGAAATATTCAAGACATGATAACGAAAAAACACATCAACATGTAGACTCAAATGGAAAAAGAAACAGACAAAGAGGCGAATTAAGAAAATCATGCGGGTTGTTCGAAACCCCTCCGAAGAACTCGGCCAAACATCTCTATACCCACTTTCTCTCCCTTAATCTCTCCTCTGGCTTCATTCTCTTTATTCCTGGGGACTCTAGCGACTATACTCTTGAGATCTGATCCCGCGCTCTTGTCCAATTCCCACCCGCAAACATCGACGACGAATTTCTCCAAACTTTCCAATCCATGCAAGTCAAGCCATTGAGCCAGAATGTCAGCGCTTATTTCACGGAATGCTTTGCCAACTTCGACAGCGATGCGAACGCGTACTAGCTTTTCAAACCCTGAAACATCAGCAACTAAATCCGCATACAGATCATCGGAATTGAGGGTTGACCAGAAGTGGGGGTATTGTGCGGATTCGAGGAGGGTGTTGAGGCGGGAGAGCTTTTGGACAGATTCGACAAAATCAGACGTTTGCATGGGGAGGGACGATATTTTTGATGAGGCAAATGGCTGTGTGTGCGCTGGGAGGAGAGCGAGAGATAGAGAAAAGGCGGGTGAGGGGAATACGGTTAACGCTTTGGCGAGAATGTTGGTTGTTGTTTCGGTATGGAGGAGATGAGGATTAAATTGGTAGCTGCAGAGATGATTGCCGATGATAGGCATCCATATATTAGCAGTGTTTTCGTAGATTGGTACGAACACAGAAAGATCTGGAGATGACCAATATCGTTTCAGATAATTTCGTATCCGCAGGTCAATTACCAGATATTGCATCAGGTAAAAATGTCTAGGCTAATAGGAAACGTGAATGTAATAGAAATTACGGAGTTCATCAGAGTAAGAGCATAAAGAGATAGAAGGATGCACGAACGAAAAGAGGATATCAAAAGAGTGTACGATCACTGGTAATAGGGATATCAAAATAGCCCCTAAACAGGAAGCCAAATAAAAGCGCTCACAGTTTCAACAGTGCCAAGTTGGCATAGGCGTCGAATGTCCTGTCCTCACACTGCTGCACGACATAATCTTGGAAGATGGTGGTGGTCTCTGGGTTATATCTGTCCAAACCATTGAGAATGGCTTCAATATGTTGCGGCCTCGTTTTGCACTTGTCAAACACAGCCATGATGCTCCCTTTCACTCTCTGGTGCCTTTATGATTTTCTCTGATCCCTGTCCTTTGAGATATGATGCGTCGACTTCAACCTTGAATGTTCTCCCTCGTTACCGTCCCTGTGTTTGCCCCAAATTGTTCGCGAGTTATTCCAACGTATCAAAAGTGAAATCGAAGAATTTCAATAGTTGTGCACAGCGTAAATTTAGAGGAGTCTGCATAAACACTTCGGTCGAAATCGGCTGACAAGGATAAAGGAGAAGTCTGTCTTGGTTGTGTGTTGCAGTGGTTGATATTAAAGATATTTGACGTTTGAAGTTGAAGATTTTCAATTCGATGTTTAGATCGCAAAATGGTTTGTGGTTGGGAATGTCCAGCCGAGCCAGGTTCTGCCTAATGTGGAAACTATTCACGACTTGCTGACTAAGTTGTTGATCTAACTTAACTAGTTAACTAGTTAGTTTTAGTTTTAGTTATGGTCAACTAAACCCCTCGACTTCAGTTTCATCGATACTGTGGGCAGTTGGACATACACTCAATGTGTAATCTAGGGGAGGCTTCAATTATGGCAATTCAGCATGTTTTTAAGCCGCAATTAGTGTTTTTCATATCGTATTTCATTTCTAGACGGGGTGGTAGTTGGAGTTTGGGTGTATGTCCACAAGTACATGACATCTATGAATCTTCTCTACACCCTTTCATTCCCATATCTATTCATTTACAACTTTGCATTCTCCTTCTCTTGAGCGTCCAACCTCCCCCATATTCTCCTCGCATCTACAATAGTGGGCCAGATATCCCTCATGTTATTCATTTCACTATTTTTTGCCCCAGCAAAGAGCGCTTCATACGGGTTCATATCCGCTCTGGCCAATGCGCTATCCATTTCAAATTCCGTAAAACCGTACGCATCAATGATAGACTTTGCATACCCAGATAAGGTGTCGATTGCCCTGTCATAAGCAGACGAAAGGGTTTTGCGTTGAGACTCTGTCAGGGCGTAAGGGGCGTATATTTCTTTGTGTGCCGACTGGAGGATTGAAAGAGAGAACTGTTTTGTTTTGGCAATCAGCGGAAACCATCGCAAGTATATTGTGTGCCTGGATAAGGGGTTTCGGAAAGATATTCTTACCACTTGTGCAAGAGCCTCCAATTGTTGAATAAACTCGGCACCAGAAGCCTCTTTAATCACCTCCCAGAATCCCCTCCAATAGACGAAATCGCAATGGGCCATGGTGAGTTCGTGAACGGTGAAGCTGGTGTCTTTGCCTGCTTCGCTAGCTTCCATATGAGTCTTTACCAGAGTTGCTAGGCGGCGCTCGAGAACCCATTGTTGGGCTACAGGCTTGAACCAGTCGGACTCCGAAAATACGGAGAGCTTGGTGCCGCTCTCTGGCTTTCTGAGGAAGCTTAGATAGGAAAGGCTGGGAACTGTGTGCTCGGTTTTTCTACGATGGCAAATCCAGGTTAGCAATCCTGGGGTGGTGTGTTGAGGGTTTTATGACAGGAGCATCTTACGCTTTATAGTGTTTATTGATGGCTCGCGGAACTTGCTGGGCAATTACATAGTTGTCACCTTCATATGTAACTGCATTGACGGTGTGAGCATACATCTGACCAAAACCAGACAAAGCGCTATACCCGTGGCCTCCGCATGCAATTCTACAAGTTTCAACTCCATTCGCAGTGATGTCAGTCGAGTATACTTTTGCGCCTACGGTTTGCAGATGAAGATCTTCAAGTTGGGACGTGTTGCCCGTTTTGATGACGACCTCCGAGTACTCATCGAAAGCACGTTTGATGTTTTGTCCAACAAGGACAAGCGCCGTCCCCTAAACGTGTTTAAAATGTTAGCTGGACCTTTTAATGGGTAGCAGAACGAAGCAATCTGGAACTTTTTACCTTCGCTAGGAGTGGAAGAAGTCGATATTTGACGCTGGCATAATTGAATACCGTATTCTCCTCTTTCTGCCCTTCGATCCAGAATTGCTTTCGGAAAGTCGTATAGTGATAGGCTACTGCGACAGCCTTCAATAAATCGTATCCGGTAATCTCAGCCATAATAGCCCGCACGGTGATCATGGAGCCATATGAATGTTTCGTATTCTTTGGTGGAACGTATGTCCCATCTCGCAGAACCTGAGCATTCCGCGCCAGCATTTGAGATCGAGGGATTCTGACATCGTGGAACTGCATGGCACCATTATCCACCCCAACCATGCCCTGGAATACCTTAGGCCCCAGTTCGTAAATTTCTACCCCTGGCATCAATTCTTGCGTTTCCAGATCGCGAAGCTGAGTGAGGAAAAGATGATTTCCGTATTCTTTCCCATCGATGATGAGACGGGCGACAACAATGGAATGAGTAGCCCAGATTCCCGTAGCTCCAATCCAATATTTGGTGCTACTCACGGCCGGTGAGTTTATTATGAACTCATCCGTTGCTTTATCAAAAGTAGCTGTTGTTTCAAGCCCTCTTAGGTTTGAGCCATGGCCAAGTTCCGTTTGGGCATACGATCCCAAGATCTCGAACCTTTCTGCCTTTGGGATCCAAATTGCCTTTTGCTCGTCCGTCATTTGGCGTTCAAGGTTCGAAAGAAAGACTGCTTGGCTGTTAGATGTTAGGAGAATTGATATAGGCAGAGGTGGGCATACTTCTGAACTGAGGTTGCACTGGGACGAAGTAGTCAAGCATCCGTACCGCATCGCGGAACTGGGTGCCTGTCCATTTTTCCCTATGCTTCAGCATTATCAACACGCGAGCCTGACCTAGAGCTCTCCTCCATGCGTCTTTCCGAGACAGCGAAGGAACTGCCACGTCAGTCTTGGAGAAGACGGGGTTCGATGTAAGAGCCTTCAGCAGCTTTTTGCGCTCCTCGAACTTCTCCTTCCCGCCCCATAAAAAGACGGAAAACGGAGTCTCATGGACATCATTGCTAATATTCCGCGACATCATGACTTAGCGTATTTATTGGAAAATTCCTCTTGCTGAAAAGAGCACATCTGCTAACGTTGCAGCAGAACAATTTATAATATAGTTACTAGGTTGAAACGAAGATTGAGGTCAAGGCACCACCCAATGCAAGATCTTGCCGAAGCCATAGCTCCCAAATCTCCGATTTGCCATTTTGCTTTTTGTTACACTGGCTTTGCAAATTCCCCCAGTGGAAGGTTGACCGTCACGAGCTCTTCTTCGGCTCTTTATTAGATCCTCGGGTTGATCCGCTGAATTGAATGGGGAGTGGGATCCAGATGCAATGGCTAAACCCGGTCGGCGATTCGGTAACTTTTCCAAGCGCTCTCGGTGCTTAGCTCAAACACTTCAACCGATTTTGACAACGGGAAAAAAATGGATAATACAGGTTTCCCGCGTTAGAGCAATGCCCTTCCTCTTTCTGTCGGTTAATTTACTACGAGGGAAGAAAGGTTACGTAAACTGTCTGGACTGCTTTCAATTGGAATCTTGGTAAACATTCCCGGTGTTCGATTGACTTTCAAAGACTTTGGGGGCTTCACCGACATCAGCACGGTAACTAGTTATATGGCCTGCTAAAATTTGTATCACAGCCATATATGCTCAATCATTAATCATAACCTTCCTGATATCGAACGGGAAAAAATTGTGTCGGATTTCGCCCAGGTCCGTCACGCCTTGAAGCGATAGCAAACTCTGCTGCACTGAGAGCTTGCGAGGCTTCACTAACTTGATGTGATTTTTGCTAGAAAACTGTGCCGAATGGGGTTCATATGTGGCAACAGGCTCAAAACACGGGGAGTTCGGCAATGCGCCGTCATCTGAGGGGTAAATTCACCACCTCCAAAATACACCAACTTTCGAACCAGCGTTTCTGATACTGGACCTCGGGAATATTCCGACTCCAGACGCCCGCCACTGGTTGGCTGGGTCCAAAGGATGTTAAACATCGACGCCCTGAGATGGTGAACTTCCAGCCGCGGACGAAAAAGGCGCTGGAATTGACCTCAAAAGATGCACGGTTGCCGAAAACTGTGATAGTATAAGTCTGTTGTTCTCACGCTTTAACACCAGAAAGCCTGAATTTCACCAGTCATTCGGATTTCCAAATTTCGAGATTGACGGGATAATTGAGCATGAAATGGCGAACAAGACCGATTTCAGCGCAGCACTGAAGCCAGCAGCCCCGGATGGAGCTACGATTCTCGCAAATGAGAGGACTCGATCGTCAATTCCAGTCCATGAGCTCTCACAGTATCTTTTGACCTCTGAATACCTTGAACAGCAAAACCGTGTCCTCAATGCTCTCGAGAGCGATCCCCTGTTCAAAAAGACAAATCAAGCCAACCTCTCCCGCCCGGACCGATATAAGCTAGCATTAGCCAGAAGCAAGAGAATCCGCCAGTTCCAGGACAAATTTGGATGGAACAAAGATGACTACAGCATGGCAGCCAGCCTATGCGACGATGTGCTCCCTTATCACCTCCACACGTCTATGTTCACCACAACGGTTGCTCAACAGGGAAGTGAAGCACAAAAGGCATACTGGATGCCCAAAATTGAAGCATGGGAAGTGATTGGGGCTTACGCGCAAACTGAACTGGGTCATGGAAGCAATGTTCGTGGACTCGAGCTGGAAGCAAAGTGGGATCCAAAAACCAAAGAATTTGTTCTTCACAGTCCACATTTGACTGCGAGTAAGTGGTGGAACGGCACTATGGGCCGCACTGCAAACCATGTCATTGCTATTGCGCAACTGCTGCTTCCTGTTTCAGGATCTGGAGTAGATACGAAGTATAAAAACTATGGACCTCATCCGCTCATTGTGCAGATTCGGGATATGAAGACGCACCAGCCACCCGAGAGTATCGTGGTGGGCGATATTGGTCCGAAGTACGGGTATGATAGCATGGATAACGGATACTTGTTATTCAATCATCATAGGTAAGGCTGCTTTGAATCCCAGCAGATCTTTGTTTTACGGAACTGACGCGCAGTATCCGCAGAGTTCCACATGATGCTATGCTAGCCGGGTATTC